TTATTTGTGAATGTTTATTCTATACAAAAGTATAATATTTGATTTTATTTGGTAGAGACCTTTAATATTGATTTACAAATGTGAATCTTCGATAAATGGAACTTGGTAGTATGACCTGTACCTCTATTGATGCTAAGATGCATAATGACGAAAACTCATCTGTGTACGTCTGTGATACCTCGACCCAAGTGCCTAGTCTAGTTCGCTAAAAAGGAATCAGAATGCTCATTTTAAGTTGGGTTCATGGTGTGAAAGCCTATTTAATCTGATTGCTTTCTTTGAAAAGGCATCAATTGTATTTTTTATTTTGAGGGAAAAATCTAAGGAAAATCCTAAGTTTGACTCCAAACATTGGCCAAATGGATAAAATGTACTAATCATCGAAACCAAGGAGGATTCGGGGACTAAGTTTTTGGTTTTAAAATAATCGATAAATGAGCCTAAGTGTTAATGCTTTGTGGAATGAAAAAAAATTTAAAGAGGAATAAATGCATGGTAATAATAAGAAAGAAATTTAAAGTAAGCAATAAATAAAGCTACAAATAAAGTAATGAAAGAAAAAAAGGGAGTGTCATTTCTAGCCTCGTTTAGAGGATTCTAGAATGACCAAACATCGTATAATAAAAGACTAAAATGCAACATTTAAATGAATAGAGTTAATTAAAAGAGAATGTCATCTCTAGCTCCTTTTAAGGGGATTCTAGGATGACCACACTTTTTTTAAATTAAAATAAAGCAAACATTCACAAAAGTAAATAAAGAAAACCAAGGCATCGAAAGGAGTATTGCCTCTAGCCCCTTATGGGGATTCTAGGCCAATCACAAGTCTCTTAATCGAAAGAAACCAATAAATTGGAATGAAGTACAAAAGGGAAAGGGAAAAATGGATTTTTTGATTTGCAATTCGAATTTTAGTAGTCGAGTGTGCTTGCTTATCCCATTGAATAAGAATCAAAACCAAACAGTTCTTCCAATCATGAAATGGGGATTTTAATTATGAAAAGTGTGTATGTGTGTGTGTTTTGTTAAAAGTTGGCTCTAGTCGCCATTTTGAGTGAAACAATTTTGTCGTCAAGTTGAGGAAAAGTGGCTTTAGTGGCACATTAATTGAAAAAGTAACTTTACTTACCAATATAATTGAAAAGTGACTTTAGTCGCCAAGTTTGTGCAAATGTGGCTTTAATCGCTAATTTGAAAGGAAAAGTGCCTAATACAATACAAGTTATGGAGGCAAAATGAGTCAAAATAGGAAAATGTTCAGTTATGAAAATTTGAAGACTTTTTAGACTTTTAATTAAAATATCTTCCTAAATTATTTAAAATGTATTTCAGCTGGTTTAGAGTTCATTTTGGGCCTATATTTATACATGGGAAATTTTATGAAGTAATGACATCATTAGACCCTTTTGGCAATTTTGAAGTTTTTGGGCTTTTAACTCAAAATTGATTTTAGGGCCCATATATTTGGGTTGGACAGCCCATTTAGGCTTCTTTTGGATCACTAGAACTTGAAGAGACAAGAAGGTGGAAGATGAAGAGTCAAGGGAGTTATAAAAGTTGAAGAGCTATCCACTTTATGGCTTTTTGGATCACTAGGATCACTAGAACTTGAAGAGACAAGAAGGTGGAAGATGAAGAGTCAAGGGAGTTATAAAAGTTGAAGAGCTATCCACTTTATGGCTTTAATTATTATTTTAATTATTATTTACTTAATTTGTACATCCCTACTCTATATAAAGGGATTATCTTTCTTTGTTTTGAGATATAGAATTTTGGATAATTACGGATTAATGAAAGTGAGGTGTTGCCTTCTTTTATCTTTATGCATAAGTTGTTGTTTGGATTGTAATTAATTTGTTTGTTGTTTGGATTGTAATTAATTTGTTCAATTGCTATTCAGATTCAATTCCTATTTCTTATGTTTTTGAACATCTAATTCAAATTGGATTTAAAAGGGATATTCTGGGATTTTCTCTTTAAGTTCTTTTGAGTTGAGTTCTTAGGTATATGATTAAATCAAAATTATGATTGCTTGCGGGTTAATCTGCTGGTTCAAATTGGTAGAAAATTCTAAGTTTCATGTTGATGTTGGGATGTTGGGGTTTCATATTAGTGGCTTTAGTCGCCAATTGATGAAAATGTGACTTTAGTCACCTATTTGATTGAAAAAATAGCTTTAGTCGCCGATTGATTGAAAATGTGGCTTTAGTGGCCAAGTTGATTGAAAAGTGAATTGTTTTGGCGTTAGTCACCAATTGATTGAAAAGGTGGCTTCAGTCGCCAGTTGATTATAAATGATCCATTTAGCTTTAGTTGCTAAAGGCTTTGAAAAAGAGGCTTTAGTTGCCAATTTAGTGTGAAAATGGTCCATTCGGCTTTTGTTACCAAAAGTTTGGAAAAAAAATCTTTAGTCGCATAATTTGTATAAAAATGGATCATTTGCTTTAGTTGCCAAAAGTTTTAAAGGAAAAAGAAAAAGAGATGAAGCAATGCGTGTAATGAGGCAAAGAAAACAAGCAATTCCTATACATTCATCTAATATAAACATGTAAGTTGTATTTGTGTCATTCAAAAGTTTAGAGTCTCACATTGAAGGCAACTATAAAAAAAAAATGGAAACATGCAAAATTATTAAGTTGTAGGATCATGCTTAAAATGCTAAAGCATAAGCGTTGTATCTAAAGCATTTTTTAAGTGTAGAAGAGAGATATCTAAATCTAAAAAGACAATTCAAAGTCTCTAATCTAAGGTAAGTGATTTAAAGACTAACATGCACTCTAAGTATTAAAGCATTTATTCAGAACTAAACTAATCATGCATATAATTTAGTTAAATTTAAAAGAGCCTAATTATTCATGCCATTATTTATTTTCTAAGTTAAGAAAATAATTAATTAATGGTAAGCTAAACAATTAATTAAATCTAGTCTAATTAATTAACTCTAGAGGTGATGTAATTATTTAATTTAATTCTAAATTAATTAAACCTAAATAATCATGCATTTAAGTCTAAACTAATTAAACATTAAATTAAATTAATTCTAATTAGGCATTGAATTAATCTAACTTAGTTTAAAAAATATTAAATCTAGGCATCTAAATATTTCAATATAAACTAAGTATTTATTAAATTAAACTAACCTAAGCATTGAATTAAACTAGACATTTAATTAAATCTCAACTAGGTATTTGATTAAATTAAACTAGACATTTAATTAAATTAAATTAAAGTAGGCATTTAATAAACTAACCTAATTAAATATTAAATACAACCTAATTAAATTAAAGCACTAAAATTAAAAGGGATATGGGGCTTACCTCTCATAGCGTGTCTTAACGATGTCTCGGAGGCAGCATGCGTCCAAAATCTTCAACTTGAGGAATCCTTAACGGATAAAAAAAAAAAAAAAAAAACAACTTGAGGAATCCTTTTACACGGATTAAAAAAAAAAAAAAAAAAAAAAAAAAAAAAAAAAAAAAACGGGTATGAAAACCTTTAAACTATTATGGTTTTTCACTTAAGTGAAACCCACAGTTGACTAAAATACTTATAGAAGCAAAGGTCTTTAAACATGTTATTTATATTGCTCCAAGTCTTTTTTGCTTGAGACTACAAAAAAACTATAAAGTAGTTGATTGAGACTTCTGTCAGCTTTCCTGATTAAAAACTTGGTAACACGTACAATTTAATTCTTGGGTAAAAATCAGTTGAACCAAACATCCCATCAGTAATGGATAATGGCTAATCTAGTTTCACTCTTAGCCAATTTCTTGTACATGTGTGTGTATCATGCACTCATTAGTTGTCAAGACTAGGAGTGTAAATGACCCATTCCAATTCCATTCCGCAATATTTTGGAATTCAAAATTTATTTCTATTCCATCAATTTTTAAAATTTAAAATTTCATTTATACCATTTTATAAAAATTCGGTTTAAAATTCGGTAATTTCAAAATTTTCAACCTTAAAATATAAATCTAGTCTATTATAATATATTTTAATATAAAATTTTTAAAAATTTAATAAGAAGTAATCAAAATAGAAACAATAGAACTCAAAAACAAGAAAATTAGAAAAGAGAAATAAGCAAACAAAAGCAAAAAATAGATCAAGAGAGCAATTCAAATGAAAAATTTTTAATAGCTTCGAAGTTGATCATTAAAGAAATTTTCTTGTTAAGAACAAAAAAAAAAAAAAAAAAAGAAACAAAAAAAAAAAAAAAAGGATAATAATTTTCCCTGATACACTTGACAAAAAAAAAAAAAAAAAAGGATAATATTTTCCCTGATCACTTGACGAGAATCAAAGAAGATCGATGAGAAATATATAAATTGTGATTCTGTGAGGCTGATTTTATTTTATTTTTTTTAATTTTGACTCTGGATTTTCAAGTCTATATCAATTATTATTAGGGTCAAATTATTTCATTGAATGAGAGAGGAGCTTTTTTTTAATATTAAATTAAAATATAATTAAAACTAAAAATAAAAAATAAAAATTCCATATATGAAATTTTCTATTTTATCTTCATTCCATAATATTTTAAAAATTGCATTCCTTTTTCATTTCCATGACATCCTATAGAAAAATCCTAACAGAAAAAGTAGTGTCTTTTAATCGATGATTATGAGATCCATGTTCATTATTATTTTATTTTATTGTTTTATTATAAAAAAACATATTAAATACAACGAAACATAATAATGTTATTATTATTAATTTTTTTAAATTAATTATTTATAACCTATATAAAGAAGATTACTGGTAAAAAATAATTTACCGTTCAAATTTAATTAGTTTTACTGACCAATGAGTTTGATGGAAGTTTCCAATAGCTTGGATTAATTCATAAGCCACTTAATTGCGTTAAATAAATGAAAAAAAAAAAAAAAAAGCAGTTACTTAGAGTAACGATTTCCCCGCTATTGTTTTTCCCGCTTCATAAGGCGATCTCAGACAATAGATAGAAAGAGAAGTTGTTCTCTAGAGATCCGCCTTGAGTGCTAACAATTAACAGATTCTCATCAAACTTTTATTTTCCAACTAAATACTTTTCTATCACTTCTTCTTTTCTATCACTTCTACTCAACCACAATCAATCAATCCACTCATTATATCAAAATCTCAGGCAATCAATCTTAATCGCCGGCGCGCATTGTCGCTCTGGCGAAGTCTCCTCTGTTTGGCTTTCTATTTTCAGGTAATATTTATTGCTTTGTGCTTTAATTTTCTTTGCTAGTTCTGCACCAATTAGCAATATCCAAGATTTAACACTTTTTGATTGGATAAAAGGAGCTTCTTCACAACAAAAAAAGAAAAGGAAAGAAAAGAAAACTAAAGTATAAGTAACCAAATACTTTGTTTATAGATAATACATATAAATCTATTTTCTTTCCTATAAATCAGTTCCAATAAAAATTTTAATTGATTTTGAATCTCTAATAAACTTCCAACTACTCAAAATTTTCTATGATGATTTAATAGTTTGTTAATTTATTTATACATTAATAGTTGTTCATGGTTATCAATTATACTCCAATATCTCAATTTATATAAATATAAGTTATAGCAAGTCATTTTCAATTTATAATAAACTTTGGTCAGACTTTATTTGTTTCCGTAAAATAACTTGCAGGAAAGTATTTTTCACAATTTTCCGTTATTTGGGGCGCTCAGAAAAATAAGTGAGCGGAAAATATTTTTCTAGTTAAAGGAAATTAAGCCATTTTTAAAGGAAAACATGGAAAACATTTTTCGGATATTGGCAGACCTTATAAATCCATATTTTTAAATTTATTAATCATCACAATTACTATCACCAATCACCATTTACCACCGACCACCCCCACCGGATACCACTATCGGCCACTACCATTGGCCACGGCGCCTTTCATAATTTATATTTTTTTTGCATTCTTTTCATATTTAATAATAAAATTTTTAAATTATAAAATTTCTATAATTCTTATTACTTATTAATTTTTTTATAGTCTTATGAGATACAAGGGACTTTAATATTTATTAAACCAATTTTTCAAATATTACACCAGATCAAACAAAAAATAAGTCATTTAAAAAATAATTTTAATCAAGGGAAAATGATTTTCCATGAAATTATTTGTTTATGGCAAATCTATTTTTATTATTATTAATATTTTTTATAGTCTTATGAGATAAAGACTTTAATATTTTTAACCAATTTTCAATATTACAACCAATCAACAAAAAATAAGTCATTTAAAAAATATTTTTCAAGGAAAATGTTTTCCATGAAATTATTTTTTAGCAAATTATTTTCCTGCTAATACTTTACGGAAAGAAATGGAGGCTAAATATCACAGGATATGTAAATTAGTTGATCATTTGTGATTAGTTTGTCATATGCTTTCTATGTTAAATAATAATAATAATAATAATAATAATAATAATAATAATAATAATAATGCTCATGTTGGTATATAATTAGTTTTCAATAAGATATATGTGTTTACGATAATCTAATTTAATATTAAAATGTTGAAAAAGGCCAATTAATCTAAATTGGTATGATTTTCATTGCGTCAAAATAATTAAACAGAAAATGCTAAAAGAACAATTATACAAACACCAACTTTTTATTACTGAAAACGATTTCATTTGCAAAATTATTTTTCATTATGTAAAACATCTACGCAAATTATACCTACTGAATTTGTTTATTATTTTGACAGTTTTTTTTTTTTTTTTGAAAAATATGAAAAAGCCAAGTAAAATTAGCACAATTGAATTTGTTTTTTGGGGATGACAGATTTAGCTACAATTTCAAAATATAAATCTGTCTGCTTAATTGACATGTTTGATAGCACTAATTTCCTCACAAAAACTTGTTTTTATTCTTGTAAATTGTTTCAAATCGTTGTAAATAGTCTAGAGATGTTCATTATTTTTGTAAATTTTTAGACTTTACCGCTCTTGATTAATAGAGTAACAGTGTGGAGTTTGGGAGATTAATTATGCTATTAGTGCTCCAAAATTCTTTTTCCTCCTATTTTTAAAGTCAACTGTTGGAATTTATTTACAGTGCTTAATTAGAAAAAAATTAAATTGTTAACTACATGATAGTAAAGAAAAAAAATGTAGACATCCAAACTACAAATTTAAAGTTCAGGCATTATAGATGTAATTTTGGCAGTTTTTGATTCTTAGACTGTCTCTTTTGAGTTTATCTAGTGCTGTGATATTAATGATGAAAATTTTAAAAGAAAAAAATTTTCTATAATTATTATTATTGCAACGTCTGCCTATGAAATAAATTAAATAAAGTTATGGGCTTCAATTTTTTTTTTTTAAAAAAGAAGTTATGGGTTTGATTACCTATATGAAAGATTTGAAGTAATTATGGCAATTTTTTATATATTAAAATGCATAATTCTATGTTATTAGTGCATGCTGTGGATACTAGCACTGTATTGTAACCCATTATAGTTGTTTGATAATATGCTTTTATTTCATATCTTCCAAATCATGTAATCTAAAATTTCTACTAAATGAATAACTTTTATTTTATTTTTGTTAATATCTATAAATGTTTATTAATTCAAATAAATGATGCAAGAATTCATAATTTCTTATAGAACTGGAGCAAGTCGATCAAACCCGTGAGGGATTAATAATTCTGATATAAGAAAATATTGAAATGAGCAGATACAAGAACTATAGTACAAAATGAATAAGTGGTGAATGAAAGAGGATTCGTCAACTGGTAGTTACTCTACAACTATTGATGCTCTACGAATTTGGCTCTTAGAACCAGCGATTGGTTTGTGGAGTAGAATTTCAAGGTGATGGAGTTTAATGATGGTTTTGTACCGAATGAGCATCGACAACATGCACAATCCACTTCAGAAAGTGTAGATCCATTCTATGTTTCTCCATTGCAGGTTTCGGTCAATGAAAAGTCTCCTGCGTCACACAGCAAAGAAGGTCCAAGCAAGGGGAGCCCGTTCAAGTCCGATAAACATCCAAATTCTCTCTTTCTTGCAGCTGGAGAAGCTCTTGATACATATTATGATTGTTCTGTTGATCCTAATCCAAACTGTGATGGTAGTGAGGTACTCAATTGAATTCTTTTATTTGTAGAGTTATTTTTCCATGATTAAAAGAAGATGTTAAAGCAGTAGAGGGCTGTTCTTATGCTAGAGAAGCTAAGTTGATATTTATTCGTTATAGGAATATGAAGATAGTAGTGAGAAACAATTGGCTGGAAATTTTGAAGAGTACAAGAAGGCGGCTACGGTAATAGTGGAGGAATACTTTGCAACAGATGATGTTACCTCAACAGCCAATGAATTAAGAGAACTTGGAATGCCTTGCTATAACTATTATTTTGTAAAGAAAGTTGTGAGTATGGCAATGGATAGACACGACAAAGAGAAAGAAATGGCTGCTGTTCTTTTATCTTCTCTATATGCTGATATAATTGATCCTTCACAGGTTTACAAAGGGTTTAGTAAATTGGTGGAGTCTGCAGATGACTTAATTGTAGATATACCTGATACAGTTGATGTTCTTGCGTTGTTCGTAGCTAGAGCTGTGGTTGATGATATTCTCCCACCTGCATTTCTAAAAAAGCAAATAGCTTGTTTGCCTGCAGAATCTAAAGCTGTTGATGTGGTAAAAAGAGCTGAAAAGTGCTATCTAGCAGCCCCTCTTCATGTAGAAGTTATTGAGCGTCGATGGGGAGGTAGCAAGAATAAAACAGTTGAGGATGTGAAGACTAATATAAATAATTTACTGGTAGAGTATGTGGTGAGTGGTGACAAGAAAGAGGCTTTCAGATGCATTAAGGATTTAAAAGTTCCTTTTTTCCATCACGAAATAATTAAACGGGCACTTATAATGGCGATGGAAAGGAAACTAGCTGAAAAGCTATTATTAGATTTGTTGAAGGATGCTTCTGAAGAAGGTTTAATTAATACAAGTCAAATAACAAAAGGATTTAGCAGGATGATAGATGCTGTGGACGACTTGTCACTTGACATTCCGAATGCACGAGGGATATTACAGTCCCTAATATCCAAGGCTGCATCAGAAGGTTGGTTATGTGTTTCTTCGTTGAAGTCACTCTCAATAAAACAGTACCCTTTACAAGATAATGCTACCAAAATTTTCAAGGCAAAGGCTGAATCTATTATTCAAGAATATTTCTTGTCTGGTGATATTTCAGAGGTTTGTAGCTGTCTTGAATCAGATAACAGTAATGGCTCTCCTGAACTAAATGCTATATTTGTTAAAAAATTGATAACTTTAGCAATGGACAGAAAAAATAGGGAGAAAGAAATGGCTTCGGTTTTGCTGTCATCTTTGCGCTTCCCAGCAGACCATGTTCTGAATGGTTTTGTTATGTTAATAGAATCTGCAGATGATACAGCACTGGATAATCCGGTCGTTGTTGAGGATCTTGCAATGTTTTTAGCTAGAACGGTGGTGGATGAAGTTTTGGCCCCACAACATTTGGAGGAAAGTGAAAGCCAGTTTTTAGGTCTAGACTCAATTGGTAGCAAAGTTCTTCAAATGGCGAAGTCATTGCTAAATGCTCGACTTTCTGGCGAGCGAATCCTTAGATGCTGGGGCGGTGCAGGGTGCAGTAGGCCTGGATGGGCAGTTGAAGATGTCAAGGATCAAATTAGAAAGTTGCTAGAGGAGTTTGAATCCGGAGGGGACACGAGGGAAGCTTGTCGATGCATAAAGGAGTTAGGCATGCCATTTTTCCACCATGAGGTTGTTAAAAAGGCATTAGTTATACTCATTGAGAAGAAGAATGAAAGATTATGGCGATTGCTTACTGAGAGTTTTGGTTCAGGGCTTATAACCTCATATCAGATGATGAAAGGTTTCAGTCGGGTCGCAGAATCTCTCGATGACTTGGCTCTAGATGTGCCTGACGCAAAGAAACAGTTTGTAAATTATGTTGATAGAGCTAAATTTGCAGGATGGTTGGATTCCTCATTTTGTTTCAACAAATCAGGAAATATTGTAGAGAATGGCACTTGTCAATGATAATGGTAAGCCTCACAATCTATATTATTTTAACATATCCACATGAAACTTATGAAACTACTAATCTTTTAACTAGTGCATTTTTTACCATATGGCAACTTTCGTTTTTGGCATTTTCTTCTTTTTTTCTTCTCAATTCCCTTATCAAACTAATGGAACCAAAAATTAGTAAATGGATTTCATTTGGTTTCTCTCACATTCTATCTTATATTGCAGGATTCAAGAATCTTTTCATAGTAACCTAATTTGAATACTTAAAGAACTCTTGGAGGAACTTTATGTGCTAAAGCAGAAGATAATTTGACTATTTTTGTAGTGTTAGATCATTTTTAGATATTTAGCTGTAATTTTGTTTTGGGGGGATAATGATAATTTCTTGAAAGAGGAACACAATATTGAAAGTTGTAGTTTGCATTTTATGTATAGTTTGCATATTATTTTGCAGTCCTTCTATCATTTGTTTGTTTGATTCAAGATCATGAGTTGTTAGTGTTTGGATATGTTTGAATTTAAAATGAGGAATATTTTTTCTTACGAAAAATATAAGTGTTGGGAGTCGATCGATGGTACCCCTTATAAAATAATGGGTTAAATGATAATTGCGTGCCGATTAACAAAAGTATGTCAGCTTTGGCTTGTGGACTTCAAATATAAAGTATACATTCCTGAAGGACAAAATAGAAATTTACCAAGTAAAGTAAGTTTGTGAATATCAAAGAAATCAAAGTTAACTAGGTAATTTTCTCGGTTGACATTCACTACAAAAAAAATGCTCTTTAGCGACCGATTATTTCTTCTTTTTCTATCACTAAAACATATATAGTGACCGAACAATGACCCCTGTAATCAGCACACAATTTCTTGTCACTAAGTTCACAGCGATCGAATCTGAAGTCCGTCGCTAATTAGTGATCGATGCAGCAATCGCTAAGTTTACCAACGTGGTCACTTAATCACTTCCGTCCATTAAAAATAAGGCAATAGCTATTCGGTCGCTGAAGTATGCAGTTGCTATTTCGTCGCCATGGTCGATCGTTAAATTTATAGCTAATCTGTTGCTATATATTGTTTTAAATGTTTGACATTCCATCGCTAAACCGTCGCTGATCCGTCACTAATGTTGTCAATAAACGGTCACTATTTTTGTCTCAAATTAATTTTCAAGGTATTGTTATTCGTTGCTACTCAGTGGTCACTATTTTTTGGAATAAAAAAATAAATTTAAATTTTTTGATAACCAAAATTTTTCACTAGTAAAAAATGGCAATATATGCTGATTCAAGTAATTTACACAAATAATCGCAGCAACGAAAAAAATACTAAATTATCAAATAAAATTGTTATTAATGTGCGAAGAAAATTGTACAAATTATACTGTAATATGTACAAAATAAACATAACAATAAAAAAGAAGTCTAAGGGGGTCTGATTTGCAAGATCTATAATGGAACTCTGAGAAGTAGACAAAAAAGAAGGAGCCGGGGATCAAAGTGATTTGTCAATACAGTAGGTCGGTCTCGAGCATACATATCCATGAGCTGTTGTTATTATACTGTAATATGTACAAAATAAACATAACAATAAAAAAGAAGTCTAAGGGGGTCTGATTTGCAAGATCTATAATGGAACTCTGAGAAGTAGACAAAAAAGAAGGAGCCGGGGATCAAAGTGATTTGTCAATACAGTAGGTCGGTCTCGAGCATACATATCCATGAGCTGTTGTTGCTGCAATATAAGCTGTGATATCTGCTTTTGCTATGCCTGAAGTTGAGCCCGTGAATCCTAGATCTCCTCGGTACATGCCTCAGGCTCAACTGGTGTGGCTCTACTCGCTAATGCCTTATGCGTGCGGCTATAAAAAATATCAGTTTGCGAACCAATACCGTACACTTTTCTCTTCTTCTCGCCTCTTGTAACCTCTTGAATACACTTTTCTCTTCTTCTCGCCTCTTGTAACCTCTTGAAAAAGCTGCAATCATCGATCATAGGCTACTCACCAGTCTGAGTCTGAGATGCAGTAGCTCTCCCTTCCAGTAGTATGGTTATCCTTATAAATATAGTATACAACAACATAAGAATAATGCAAAAATATTTAAATTCAGAAGGAAAAACAAAAAACTACTCAATTGTGCTTACTCTAACAAGCTCGGCACGCCTATCAATGAATGTGACCCCATCATCGTCCTTCGTACTTATAAATGTGAAGACCTCCATGGGATAGGTTTCGCCGGCAATACATTTCATAAAATGCGAAACATTTTCAAATACATTTAATAATAAAGCTTTAATAATGAAGCTACATAAAATTCTCTAAGTTGATTTTTCTTACCAATTTCTCAATAATCTTAGCTGCTGAAATGGAACCACCAGTGTGTCGAGACGGACTAGCTCCCTTACCACCCGTCTTATTGAGCCTATTACGAGACATAATCTCGCGTTTCCTCACATACTCAGGATTGGACCAAGTCTGCTGCCAACTAGCCCAAACGTCGTCTGAAGCACACCTTTGCTTCTTTCCTATACTCCACATCTTGTACAGCAAGTCCAAGTAATGCTCCGCTGACTGCATCTCCCAAGCTTTTTTAAACATGGCCTCTATTGCATCTGACTCCCATGTGAACTCCTTCTGCGATAAATAGAAACAGAAATATTTTTATATGAGATTTCACAATCATTAAGTTTAATTAATTTTTGAAGCACGAACATTTACTAGAAATTCTTTCCAATAGAATAGTCTAGCCTATGTTGGTATACCACCCCAACACCAACCATCTTTCTCCAAATGAAGCTTGAAAATCCTCATAATGGCTTTAGAGGAATCAAATGATGGATGCAAGCTATCAAACAAAATAGAGAAAAATGAAAATATTTTTCAGTTACTAACATAAGTATATGAGAGTAATTATTTGTTGTTACTTACCGTCGTTTCACGATCTTCAACTTCAGTCGAGCATCTCCCTCAACTACAGAAAATGAGCATTAGTAGAAAATGTCAATGTTAATATACTAATATATGAAAATACAAAATAAGAACAATAGTAAATTGTATAATAATTACCGGTTGGAGGGGCTGATGATGATGGTGCTATAGTGGCTAGTGCAGATGGTGCTGCAGCATCAGAAATAAGTGCTTGAGTAGAAGGAGGGATAGGAGGTAGTGGAGGCAGGGGGGTCGTGTGACTGTATGAGTGTCACATGCTCTTGCATGAGCACCTCGTCCTCGAATACCTCGACCTCGTGCAGAGTCCTCGACCCCCTTGTCTGTATCCATCTGAACCATAAGAAGGTGATCTGCAATACATAATAGTAATTAACACAAATATTACAAATGTTTCGAGACCAACCATACATGTTTAAGATTCGAGTTTCTATAATATGGTAAGTACGCGTAAGGTTCTGAATTAGAAGGAGGGATAGGAGGTAGTGGAGGCAGGGGGGTCGTGTGACTGTATGAGTGTCACATGCTCTTGCATGAGCACCTCGTCCTCGAATACCTCGACCTCGTGCAGAGTCCTCGACCCCCTTGTCTGTATCCATCTGAACCATAAGAAGGTGATCTGCAATACATAATAGTAATTAACACAAATATTACAAATGTTTCGAGACCAACCATACATGTTTAAGATTCGAGTTTCTATAATATGGTAAGTACGCGTAAGGTTCTGAATTTTGAGAATTAAGATGTACCAACTATTGTAATGTTCTCTGTCTCATTCTTCTTCATCTTCCTCATCTCCTTCCTCTGAAGTACATAAGACTTGGGGCTTTGCTTCATCATCTTCATCTGATATACCAATTTCAACATATGTCCGATCTACGTTATCGAATCTTTCCATTAAATCTTCAACTATTTGGTTCGGTATTTCAACCTCATCTACTTGAAATGGCTCAGACATCGAGGTTAAGGCAGATTGTTTAGTTCGAACTTCCTGTACATCTGATCTAGCTTAAATCTGGCACATTGCCATCCAATCTTGCTATCTCGCTTCATTGATGGATGTGGAACATACTAGACCTAAGCTACTTACATTGCAAGAATGAACGGTTCATACTTTGTGTATTTGTTTCTACTATTAACTTCTATTATATTATATTTTGGATGAATCTTCATTCCAACATTGGGGGTTGGATCGAACCATTCTCAATTAAATAATATCATTCGTTTGATGGGCATAGCTAGATATTCCAACTCAATAACCTTAAGCAACCTCCCGTAAAAATCGTTTGACTGTTCACTGTAATTTGATCCTTTTACACATTCTCCACTATTTTATGTTTTTCTAGTTGACCCATAACGCTCAGTGTGGAACTTGTATCCATTGACAAAGTAACCCTAGTACGTATTTACGATTGGCAAATGTTATTTTGCTAGATCAACAATGAATTTATTACCAATAATACTTTTCAAGTTACGCGCCTATACAAATAATAAACATTCAATCATTTAAACATTAATTTCTTTGAGTGTAATAACAAGTTTGTAGGGTGAGCCAACAGATAACTCCACCGGCGCCGGAATGAGACAGGGAGAGATGCGACAAAGGGAGAGAGAGAGGCATGAGACTGAAATTTCAGTCTCGCGCAATAGAGAAAGGCGACTAAATCGCCCTAAAAAATTAGCGACCAACCATATCAATTGCTAAACTTAACCAATCGATCCCTATTTTAATTGACGTGGCAAAAAATCTTTGTCTCTAAGCAAAGTTTCCGTTGCTAATCGGTCACTAAAAGTAATAGAATTATGATCGTCGCAGCTGTCGCACAGTAGTCGCTTATCTGTCGCTGATAATTCTCGCTAAATAAGTGGCGCGAGAAATAGCAACAGACATCACGTTGGTCACTATATCGGTCGCTCACGCTATCGCTAGTTGTCGCTAGTTTATGCATCATAACTTGTCGATATAATTTTATATATGTCATTTCATCAATGACTAAAAAATAAAATGATTAAAAGCAAACGTTTTTAAGTTGTCGTATGAGCATAATATTTAAATATAATATGTATATCAATTACATATGGCTAGAATGTTTTTAATTGCAAATAGTATTAGTGAAAATAAAATAATAAAGATATTTGGTATATTAGATAACTTGAACTAAGAAACAATAACTGCCAGAAATTTCCATATCAAAAAGTACAATGAAAATAACTAAAATGTTTGAATTTGAGATATATTATTGTAATATTCTTACTCAATGACTTTAATTTTACATTATTTATTGAAAACATTAAAAATAAAATTATGAGTTATAATATTAAATAAATATCATTAAATAATTAAATATCATATGTTTAATCAATTGTGTTTTTAAATTGTTAAGATTAAACCAAATAAATAATAATAAAAAAATTGAAGAATAAATTCAAATTGCTATTGTATATTTTTACATTTATTTCAATTTTTGTGTATTTATAGTTAGTGATGAAACCAAAAATTAAAAATAAAATCA